AGCAACAGATTAGCAAGGCACACACAGACACACACACACACACACACACACACTATTTCTATATATACACATGCATGACTAAGTGAGTGTGTGGGTGTTTATATTGTGCGTACTTGTGGTGGCTTTTGTATCATGTTACTCACACATTGTTCTTCAACACTGGCCATGAGTTGGAGTTTTAGCGTACTGGTCGCGTTTATTTTTAGTTAAACGTCGCTTATCACTCACATTCTAGCTCTGGCTAGCCCCTTGTCGGCCAGTTTGTTTTGGCCGCCAAAATTGACAGCTGTGAGCAGCCCAAAATGGCAATTATGACGCTTGACTTGTATTTATGGGCTTATTGAACTTATTGAACAGGCCCCGAATCCGTTCTCTTTGTGCTCGGGTCCTCTCAAAACTTTATAAAGCATACAACATGCTTTGCTCATTTTAAGTCATGGTGTGGGAAAATTGTTGAACATAATTTTATTTTTATATTTAACAAGTTTTGTTTTTGTGGCATGGAAATGGAAATCAGAATTTCTTAGAATTTATTTGCATGATAAAATTAGGTCAACTGCGACATTTTCATATAATCTATGTCATTTGTGTACATTACAGATGCGAAAGGTCCCTCAGATCAGTTCTCTTTATAATTTTATTCGACAAAACGCAATTATACAATTCTATTGATATTAAAAATTCTTTAATGCAAGTCAAATGTTTTTTTTTCTGTTTTTATTTATTTATGAATTTAACGGATTGTAAGATTGATGTATCTTTGTATCGTATTTCTTATCTTAATTTTTTATAAATTTAGATAAGTGAAGGGTATCAATAAAGGGTATCTGAAAATTCAGCACATCTCTGACAAGATTTTGTTCGGGCGCCCGACATCCGCATACAAATGCCATTTTTTTTTTCGGCTAATATTCTGTTCAAGGTTCTGCGATGTCAGCTGTTTGTGGTAGCTTTCACATCCCACATGGAAATGCGCGACAAAACAAATATTTTACGGCCTTTTGAAGGCGGGAAGGGTGCGGAAGGGAGGCTGAACGGTAACTCTGCGGCGCGTCGTTGAGTCTAACAATTTCGCATTTTCAATTTCAGGGCCAACAACAAGTGCGACTACCAATGGCAACAGTTGGGTGCTGCTTGTTATTATACCCTGTAAACGAAAATTTGTAAAAAAGGGTGTGTAACTGAAAACAACGGGCAAATCAGTAAAGCACATAATATATTTTATGATATCTTAATGAAAGCTTAAATTAGATCAATTTATTATTTTACAAGACATTTAATTACTGAAATATTAAAAATAATTAGTTTAGATGCTCCCGACTTCTTTCATGGGCTTGAAATATTAATATAACTTTTATTATTATAGGAAAAATTGTCGTTGCACATATTTGATTATTTCCCAAGTTGTTTCAACCATCTATATTACTGGTGTACATTAGAACTGACTACAGGGTATCTTGTAGCACGGCACTGACGACCTGTGAGATCTCTTGTGTAATGTTAACTCAGTGGTCGATTGTCGATAGCTGGTAATGAAGTGAAATGACAAGCACAAATGCGTTTGCAGAGCAGAAAAGTGGGCTAAGGGGCAGCGGATTGGGAGGCAACTCCAACAATCATCAACAAGAGTTGCTAGAGTCGCGTCCGCAACTGCCGCGCTTCCCATGACCTTAGCCAAAGTGGAAAACGGAATTGTTATGCTGCCATGGCAACCCCAACCGACTGTAGAGCTGTGCCGCTTCATTGACGAACTGCCGGCGCAGTTATTTTGGCTATTGATATTTTGTTATTGGTCAGTGGTTAGGTTGATTTATTTTCAATGGCATTTGAGCGGCATAATCATTAGCGACAGGCAATGCGGGCACGGCACGTGCTAGGCAACGAGACGCAACCCAATCTCAGCTCAATTTACGGGAGGGAGCCCAGAGCCAGGTCCGTATGAAATGTAGCACGCAATATGTTTTGATAAACATAACATTACAGGTCATCAACCCGATGTCAGACCCCAATCCAAAATTACAGACACGGGCATATTTACCCAGCTACGCCGTATTCCTCTTTCAAAAGAGTGAACAAGTTTTCAATTCAATGTCTATGCCAAGGTCCCATTGACTACATTCACGGGTCCTTGGGTGTTGCCTGTCGGCATTAGGGTTGTTCACAGCATAATCTTTTCAAGCCTTCTATTGCACAATTGTACATATTTGAAGAAGGTATAAAAAGTATTCACATCTAATTATTATTAATAATCTAATTTACTTAGTTTAAATAAAATAATTACTTTAATTACACACAACTTATTTTAGTAGTTTTTTAACTAGCTGTTAGATATTAGACATGCAGATTAATTAGAGTTGCCAACTGCCTTTTCCCCAACGTTAGTAGCTTAGCAGGTAGCTGTTAAATATTTGCTTTATATACATAATTGCAGAGTTGCCATCTCTTTTCAAAAGGGTAAATTTAAAATTAAACCTTTTTTTCAAATGCAAATGTCTTCGCCTTTCTTTCTTGTCTTCTAACTTGTAAATATTTAAAATGTATATAGAATCGCAGTGTTGCCATCTTCATATACATAATACGAAATAATAAAGTGCTGAATTTAATGTGTTGGTTAAGTTTAATGTGAGCTCAGTTTGGCTCCATATAAATCAGAGCTTAGGAAACTACTTACAAGTCGCACACGAATACCCCTAATGCTTGCGGATGGTAGATAATATTTCGTAGAACTCATTAGTGTGTGTAACAGTTGCTGCCGTTGTTTACACCTTGCTCGACTGCACCACCTGTTCAAGCCCCACCCCGCTGACCGATTCGCATCCCGACTACGCTCGGGATAGCGTGTGAAAATGCGCATGTTACTTTATGGGCTAAAGAAAAGCTATCGCAGTAATTAAATTGAAATCAAAACAAAGTTTTTGCCATGCAACAGACGCCGCACAGACGGCGACTCTGTGGATCAACTAATGGACCTAAAAGGGTGGCTGGACAGTAGCGAACTTTTTGGGATGCTTTAAAGCCATGGCAACAGATACTTGATGCACATACTCGACATGGACAGAAACACTCGATGCGTTACGTATGCGCCAGGTTGCCGTGTTGGTATTGGTTCATTAGGCACGCGCGCTTCCCAGTTGTTTCCATGGCGCCTTTGGCTTTGCTTTTGTTTGAGCTCCAAATCCATCTAATTAAAATCTACGCAGCAATGTTTTAAGTCGCAAAAGGTAAAGTCTGGCCCGTCCTGGCCCGGCCAAGTCTACTAGCCGTGCCATAATCAGCATGCATGTGGCTGCTACTCAGCTGACGGTGGCGCGTTCTCCTGATGAATATTTATCAGCACAGCAGACATTAATACTTATGTATACACAGTTGCCGTGTGTGTGTGTGTGTGTGTGTGTGTGTATTCACAATGCACAAACACCAACACAAGCCTTTGAACCATTCGTGTGTTGGTGTGGACAGAAGTAAAAATAATACTCTTTATAGAAGTACGCAGGACAATTCATTAGAGACAAGTAAAAATACAGAAAAGTTAAAAATGCAGTCTGGCAAATGCCGTATGTCAATTATTCAAAAAACTTTCTGATTTCCGCAAACTTTGAATAATAAAGATCCTCAAAATAATGGGGATATATATAGTTATATATAACTTTATATATTTAGATATTTAGTTAAATAGATATAGAGATCGATTTCGTCGTGTTATTTTCGATAATATTATAAATATTAAGTTTTCACATATTTTCCACTTGTGGAAGTGGATTTTCACATTAATTTGAACTAACTAGTACAATAATTGTACCTTTATTCCGTTGCAACTTAACTTAATTTTATTTAATCTTTTTAAATATTCAATATAAATAAACTCTTGTATTTAAATTGGGAATTTCATTGAAGAACAAATTTATTCTGGGCTTTTAATGGAGAAATTATAAACAGACCTTGGAAATATTTATGGAATAATAACTGAAAACCTTGAATATATGAGCCCAAGCGTTGCCTGAAGAGGCGCACTTAAAGTTCGTCTCATGAAAGAAGAGGGTCCTTCAACTTACCTTACGTAAGGCAATTAAAGCTTCGGTCTATTTCAATGCTTTTACACTACCATTTCAATTGTTTGCATGGCTGGCTGGGCAAACAGTGTGGACTGCTCGTATCAACCGAATGTCCACATGCACTTGTCCATAATGCCGGTAAGCACTTGTGTGTGGAGGGCCAGACGAGAGCGCGACTCAAGTGATAATTGATATTTTACTGTATTTATTTTGAAGTGTATTGCTTCCAAGTAATCTGCTGATAATTGTTGGGGCGTGGAGCGATAATCATTACAATGTTGATGATGATGAATAAGTCTCTGGCAACGTCCCTGGCCATGGCACTGGCCCTGGACGCCACGGCGGCGGCGGCGGCGACAACGACAACGCAAAAAGTGTCCAATAAATGTTTCATAGTTGTCGTTGTCGTTGTCGCTGGCATTGTTGACCTTATCAGTAGCACAAACACACACACACACACACATACGTATATCCATAAACAGAGGGTGATATAAAAAATACGCACACACACCCACGTCTATTGTAGTGCGCCTTGGCGTATACTATAAAATATTTGCTGCCTTTTGTTGCTGCCGCAGCTGAAAAGTATGCAATAATGTTTGGAGTTGAGCCGAAATATGCGGCCAGGTCTCGTCTAGTTTAGGTGCGACAGCTCGGATATGGAGAACGGCCAGCCAAACTATGCACAAATAAAAGACAAGCAAACAAGCTGATAAACTACTGAGTACCCTGTACAATACTGGAAGAGTTTCTGCTTGATTCATAATAGATTCAAAGCGTCAACTATTAATGAATTCTCCCATGGATCTGTGCTTATACTATAATGAAGCATGAAGCAAATTATTCAAGAAGATAATAAAAAAAATAAAAGATTTACCGACACGTTATTTGTTATCCCTTTGCGTCTAATTGAATGAAACTCCTTATCAGTCTGCTTTTAGGGTATTGAAAAGGTTCTTCCAGTCATTTAGAGCAGACGGCATTGTCACAGCTTAGGCCCAAGGCGCTCAAAGCTGATTCCCGGACGTCTTTGTGCTGACGTACTGTGTGTGCTTTTTCCTGGCCCAGCCATGAATGCCACCTCGCCCAAGTCCTCGCTGGTCAAACTGGGCCTGCATACCAACAAACAAAAGACGCTAAAGGTCATGGTGCTCGGCCAGAGCGGCGTTGGTAAAACGGGTGGGTGTCATTAAAAAACAATGCTCCAGACACAGCTAGGACTAACACACTGCTCGCTGCTCTTTAATTTGCAGCTATGGTTGTGCGTTTTATTACACGCCGTTTTATTGGCGAATATGATCCGAATTTGGAGAAAATCTATACCTGCCAAACAACACTGGACAAAGAGTCGGTTCAATTTGACATACTGGATGCCACCGGGCAGCTGCACGTGAGCTGGGTTGAAAGGATCTTGAGAGGAACCATAATGAAATCGAACTGAACTTTTGCAGGAACTAGATGGCGTTACACTGGAGTCCAACATACGCTGGGCCGACGCATTTATACTCGTTTACTCCATTACAGATAAGTGCTCCTTCGACGAGTGCAGCCGGCTGAAGTTTCTCATCAACTACAACAAGCGCAGACGCAAACTGGGCTCCGCCAGCAAGGTGAGCAGATGGCTGGAAGAGATCACGTTGAGAGACGTTGCATTCCAGCTATATTTTTTGCAGGATTACGCACTGGACATACCCGTCATACTGGTGGGCAATAAGACAGATCAGACTGGCGATCGCATGGTCAGCTTGGAGGAGGGACAACGTCGCTTTCGTGAGCTCTCTTGCGCCTGTTTCCATGAGATTTCTGTCAGAGAAAACGTCGACCAGGTGCGTCACATTTTATATATTCCTAGTCATCCGTTAAAGCTTAAACCCACTCGTCTAGGTACAAAACGTATTCCGCGATGTGTTCCGCTTCTGGCGCGTGTTTAGCAAATTTCCAAAGCTCAAACGTTCCACCAGCGACGTGGCGCATGCCGCCGATGGCATCTTGACGCCCGACTCTGGCTCCTGTTCCTTTTACGATGCGCTGCCGTTGGGCGTGGCGCGACGCTCGTTCCTGGTGATCGGCAGCGCCTGCCAAGAGGAGAGCGGCAGCGGCGATCACACCGAGTCCACGGATGACATAGCCAGCAGCAGTTTGGGCAGCTCACGCAGCGATATCGAAGCACCCTTCCGGAATCGCGCCTCCACCGATGGCACACTGCTGTCCAGACCCAGACGTTGGCGCTATCCGCCTCCAGGTTGTCTAATACCGCACACGAATCGCGTCGAGCGTCGCATGAGCATCTCGACGAGGGGCAGCAATGCCAGCTACTGAACTGGTGTCCATTTAGTTAGTCCAAATGTTGCGCCAAATATACGTATAGCTAAATGTTCAAATACTTAAAGCGAAAGCATTTATTTCAATTTTACGATTATCTGTAATGAGATTTATTTTTTAAATGGCTACTAAATATGTTCTAAAAAACAAGCACGGCTGTCAATTTTTACCTGTCCCAAACATCAAACGCAAAATAACCCAATTTTAAGCACTGGAAAGTTTTTACTATTACTGTAGTAAGGGGATTTGGAAAAGTACACCCGCAATTTGGAAAATTATTGGAAAACTTGTAGACTTTGTTTTAGCTTCATGTAAGGCCTACACGTGAATGGACACGACTCGTGACTAAATCTGGAACAATAAAACTTGGGACCGGCAATAATTTGTATACAAATAATTTTCCAAAATTTAGCAATCCAATAATGCAAATTTTACCTAGTTTAAGCTAACTGCTTCTTATCTAATCTAATTTTGTAGACGCTTTTGGGCTACATTTATTTGCACTTGCAACAATTTGAACAGTGAACGCATAAATAATATGAAAGACATTACATTGGACATTGCAGCCAAGAGATTCTCTCGGAGAGCCGGGCTAATCATCGTCAATCTTAAGCATATACTCCTCGGCGCGCAGGGCGAGCTCACGTATGTTGCGGAGGCAGCCAGCGGCGGCGAGTTGCAGCTCCTTGTTGGTGGAGCCAATGCACTCCAGCAGGAAGGGCACCACTCCGCTCTATGGGAAGAAAGGATAACTCGTTAGCTGGGAACAGCTGATCCCGAGGCTATTTAATGCTCACCTGGTGCATGGTAATGCAGTTCTGTGGATCCATAGAGAGTTTCTCGAGGGCCATGGCCGTGGTGCGATGCACCAGGGGATTGTCGCTGGTCATGTAGGTGACAATGGGTGTAACGGTGCGCAGACGTCCCAGCTCCTCGGTGTTGTTGCCAAAACAGGCGCACGCTGCGACGGCCGCTGCCAGATTCATGCGCAGCATGTCGTCCGTGGTGTTGACCAGATCAGCCAGCTTGTAAATGACACGCAGATCTGTGAGAATGGCCAGATTGGTTTGGTCCAAGGCAATCGTAGCGATGGCCGCACACACCGCCGACAGCACCATGATTTCCTTGGACTTGAGCAGACCCACCACCAGCTCCATGGCGCCTACCAGGCTGCGCACCAGCTCCGCCGAGTCGGTGGCATTCTTCACGCAAGGACAAATCGCATAGGCGGCATGGGCCTGCACCCGAGGACTGGTGTTCTTTAGCAGTGACCAGACCAGACGCACTGCATCCAATTGCTCCAAAATGCGCATGCTCTCCGGATCCTCGGCGCACTCCTTAATCGCCTTGGCCAGGTTCTCGAGCAGCGGCGAATGCGAAGAGTTGAGCAGAGCAACCATGGCTGGCAGGCCGCCAGCATTGCGCACTTGGACACGATTATTTTGGAAGCGTACGCATTCGGACAAAGCGCCCGTGACATTGGTCAAGACCTCGTCGCACTCATCGGCGAGCAGGGCTACCAGATGATGAATGACATTCATGTCGTCCATTTGCTCGACATTCAAATCCGACATGGCGCACATCCAAATGGCGCCCGTTGCACCCCGGATCAGTGGCTTATTATCGCGCACCGTCTTGTCCTTGATGATGCCAACCAGCGGCTCCAGTCCGCCCGCCTCGCGTACCAAATCCCGGGTGGTTGCATCAAAGGCGCATTTATAGAGCGCCGTGCTGCCCTCTACCTTGAGATCAATGCACTCCGAATTCAAATGGTTGACAATATCCGCAATCATGCCCTCGGTGGTGATGGCCAGCTGAAATTTTGGCTCCGACGAACATTTTTGGACAGTGCCCATTATCGGTATGACCACATCGATATGAACGGACTTCAGTAGGTTGGCCATTAGGGGCACAATGCCACTCTTCCGCATCTGTTCCATATTGTGCTTGGAGTCGGCCAGCGTCCAAAGGGCACGCGAGCCGGCTCGGGCCATGTCCAGGAATTCGATTTCCTCAAGGGTAAGTTGACTGCGCGGCGTTTGCAGTATGCTGCAGCGGATCGGAAACGAAATACACAGACACACACACACACATATATAAAGATATATAAAAGATTCTTGATATAGCTACCTCATTATACTACCTCATTTTGATGTCCAGCAGATCGACCAGCTTGGATATGCCGCCACATCGGCGCACATATTTGCGTGCCAGACGCACTTTGCTCACGTTCGATAAGGTTTCGGCGGCCATGGTTTTCAAATCCTTCATGGACGAGCTCAGAATATCGACAATCAACGGTATCCCATCGAGATCCACAATCGTTTTGCGTATGTCAATGTTCAGCGTTATATCGGAGAGGACGGTAAGTGCGCCCAGGCAGCATTTGGTATCGCTGCACTCGAGTATGTTGACCAAGACATCCAGTCCACCAATGTCTTGGATAGCGAACTGATTGATTTGTGTGCGCAGATCGTAGTCCTGCAGGCAGCAGAGGGATACTATTGTGGCTGTCTGATTGCCCGCCTTGATGTATTTGACCAGCTTCTGGATGTTGTAGTATTCGGCGGGTATTTCGGCAGCTCGGGCCACGTCCTTCCAGCGTTCCTCCTCATCCGTTGAGGATTCCTCTTCTGTGGTATCGGAATCTTCGGCAACCACTTGACGCTTGTCCCGAGAGAAACGATCTGGACAGGAGCCGCACTGTTCGCGGATCTTTCGTGGACGGCGTGGCGCTCCGGTGCCAATCATCGTGGAATACAAGTTTTTTTATATACTTATATTTAACTTGTCATATACAAGTGCTCAGTGATGGGCTTTTGCTGTTGTAGAAATTGCTTGTTCATGAATTTTTGTGTAGCTTGCGTAAAGGAATTTCAAAATCGTATAACAAAAATCGATTAAATAACATTTGTTGCCGGGGCAACGTTAACAAAGTTTCCGTACGTCAGTACGTGTATATTTGTGTTTGCACATTTCGCTAACAGCTTAACAAAAACAATAAACATTTGCAACTTTTTATAATTAGTCCGATCTTAGACCATATGCTAATGACGCTAAGTGACGTTGAAACCAGTTTTGAATAACCCGCCGAACTTTGTGTTAAGGCTGCACTGCGGCGAATTCATGAAGCAGTATTTTCTTTGCTTAGTTTGGTCTCATTGTTATGAATATTCGGTTATTGCAAGAAATACGAATACAATAAACACTTTATTTAATTGTTGTTTGTTAATTGTTTAAGTGTTTTTCTATGGCCTCTATTCAAACAGCTTATCTGGATGAAATAATTGGTTGAATTTAAGGAGTCTGTAGAAAGAACTTTTCTTCAGCTTCACACTGGGCAAATATATGATTAAACTCAAGTTTTTTAGGTTTTACAATTTAGTAATAATTAATGGATATATATTTTGTATACAAAGCATACATTTCATGGAACAAGGAAAAGCAAAAACTCCCTAGTCGGCAATTTAAAAGGGTTTTTACAAAATGTAATATACATGTTATAAAAAATACTCCATGATTCACATTTCCCTAAAGAAAATCGATATCCGAAGGATCTGGCAATAGTCGGATGCTGAAAATATCTAAGCCCAAATGTACAAAATCCGTACCAAGTTCTAATGCAACATCTTTCATAGCCAATCGTTTCTTTGGGTCCGTATGCCAGCAGTTTTTCATCAAAGATTTCAATTTATTGGAATTCGCATGATGCTCTACATCTGCGAGAAGAGGACGTTCACCTAGAACCATTCAACACCTTTAACGAAAGTTAAGGCAACTTGACCAAATGCTTACCCTGACTGATTTTATTCATGATGGCAAGTGTTGGGAGGTGTTCCAAGTGATAGAACGGCCTTTTATGTGCCATCACCTCCCAGAGCACAATGCCAAAGCTGAAGACATCACATTTCTCCGAGTATAAATGACTGATGGAAACCTATGTAAATATAAACCATTATTTAATCCACTCTTTTCCAGTCCAAGGAGCACAAACCTCTGGTGCCATATAGCAGGGAGTGCCAATTTCGGTCATCTTCTTCGAAGTAGCCTGTTCAGTGACTGCTCCAAAGTCGGCTATCTTTAAGGTGCGGAATTTGTTCGCAAGTAACAAGTTGTGTGGCTTAAGATCGCGATGAATCACAGGCCTTGGTTTCATGTTATGTAAGTAAGCTACACCCTGCAAATTATTCTATTGTTTAATGTCTGTGCAATGAAAATAACATCTTTTACCTTGGATAGTTGATGCATCCAATTGACGGCAGCTAAGTACGAATAGTTTCGCTCTTGTTTTTTATCACGATACATGTAATTGTGGAGTGATCCGCAGTCTGCGTATTCCATCAATATCAATGTGTTGCACTCTTTATCTTCCATAGTACAATAAAATTTAATTATATTCTCATGACAGGCGCTGGATAGATACTTCACTTCTCTTTCAATGCCCTTTTTGGCATCCGCATCATTTACGAAAATTCGTTTCAGCGCCAGCTGTGTTTGATTCATCTTAGCCTTGTAGACAACGCCAAAGCCGCCCCGGCCAATTTGCTGAAATTAATACATATATTAACTTAAGTAATGAAATTAAGAATATTGGCGATCAATACCTCTTCCAATTGTAGATAGTCGATATGTTCTATTGCTTGTGCTTCAAAGGTTGGGATGTTGCCAAAATATAGCCTATTCGAAAAGTTTGTTCAAGTTATTTAAGAAATAAAACGCTTTAGTCGGAAGTACCCGACTAGGGGATACCCTGAACTCTCTTCTATCAACATCAAATACAGGCTAGATTTGACCAAGTTATGGGGTTGGGAAATTTTGACCCATGTCTATATAGGAATCTTGGGGTAAGATTTTGGCATGAAATTCGACTAAAAAATATGTGTTCATATTTGAATGCCAGATTAATCTAGAGGGAAAACTATGAAGAAAAAGCCAAACCTCGTGAGAATCGGATGAGATTTGACCAATTTGTGGGGGTGGGAAAATTCGACGTAAGTCTATATAGGAATCTTGGGGTAAGATTTTGGCATGAAATTCGACTAAAAAATATGTGTTCAGATTTGAATGCCAGATTAATGTGGAGGGAAAACTATGAAGAAAAAGCTAAACCTCGTGAGAATCGGATGAGATTTGACCAAGTAATGGGGTTGGGAAATTTTGACCCATGTCTATATAGGAATCTTGGGGTAAGATTTTGGCATGAAATTCGACTAAAAAATATGTGTTCAGATTTGAATGCCAGATTAATGTGGAGGGAAAACTATGAAGAAAAAGCCAAACTTCGTGAGAATCGGATGAGATTTGACCAATTTGTGGGGGTGGGAAAATTCGACCTAAGTCTATATAGGAATCTTGGGGTAAGATTTTGGCATGAAATTCGACTAAAAAATATGTGTTCAGATTTGAATGCCAGATTAATGTGGAGGGAAAACTATGAAGAAAAAGCTAAACCTCGTGAGAATCGGATGAGATTTGACCAAGTAATGGGGTTGGGAAATTTTGACCCATGTCTATATAGGAATCTTGGGGTAAGATTTTGGCATGAAATTCGACTAAAAAATATGTGTTCAGATTTGAATGCCAGATTAATCTAGAGGGAAAACTATGAAGAAAAAGCCAAACTTCGTGAGAATCGGATGAGATTTGACCAATTTGTGGGGGTGGGAAAATTCGACCTAAGTCTATATAGGAATCTTGGGGTAAGATTTTGGCATGAAATTCGACTAAAAAATATGTGTTCAGATTTGAATGCCAGATTAATGTGGAGGGAAAACTATGAAGAAAAAGCTAAACCTCGTGAGAATCGGATGAGATTTGACCAAGTAATGGGGTTGGGAAATTTTGACCCATGTCTATATAGGAATCTTGGGGTAAGATTTTGGCATGAAATTCGACTAAAAAATATGTGTTCAGATTTGAATGCCAGATTAATCTAGAGGGAAAACTATGAAGAAAAAGCCAAACTTCGTGAGAATCGGATGAGATTTGACCAATTTGTGGGGGTGGGAAAATTCGACCTAAGTCTATATAGGAATCTTGGGGTAAGATTTTGGCATGAAATTCGACTAAAAAATATGTGTTCAGATTTGAATGCCAGATTAATGTGGAGGGAAAACTATGAAGAAAAAGCTAAACCTCGTGAGAATCGGATGAGATTTGACCAAGTAATGGGGTTGGGAAATTTTGACCCATGTCTATATAGGAATCTTGGGGTAAGATTTTGGCATGAAATTCGACTAAAAAATATGTGTTCAGATTTGAATGCCAGATTAATCTAGAGGGAAAACTATGAAGAAAAAGCCAAACCTCGTGAGAATCGGATGAGATTTGACCAATTTGTGGGGGTGGGAAAATTCGACGTAAGTCTATATAGGAATCTTGGGGTAAGATTTTGGCATGAAATTCGACTAAAAAATATGTGTTCAGATTTGAATGCCAGATTAATGTGGAGGGAAAACTATGAAGAAAAAGCTAAACCTCGTGAGAATCGGATGAGATTTGACCAAGTAATGGGGTTGGGAAATTTTGACCCATGTCTATATAGGAATCTTGGGGTAAGATTTTGGCATGAAATTCGACTAAAAAATATGTGTTCAGATTTGAATGCCAGATTAATGTGGAGGGAAAACTATGAAGAAAAAGCCAAACTTCGTGAGAATCGGATGAGATTTGACCAATTTGTGGGGGTGGGAAAATTCGACGTAAGTCTATATAGGAATCTTGGGGTAAGATTTTGGCATGAAATTCGACTAAAAAATATGTGTTCAGATTTGAATGCCTGATTAATCTAGAGGGAAAACTATGAAGAAAAAGCCAAACCTCGTGAGAATCGGATGAGATTTGACCAAGTTATGGGGTTGGGAAATTTTGACCCACGTCTATATATGAATCTTGGGGTAAGATTTTGGCATGAAATTCGACTAAAAAATATGTGTTCAGATTTGAATGCCTGATTAATCTAGAGGGAAAACTATGAAGAAAAAGCCAAACCTCGTGAGAATCGGATGAGATTTGACCAATTTGTGGGGGTGGGAAAATTCGACCTAAGTCTATATAGGAATCTTGGGGTAAGATTTTGGCATGAAATTCGACTAAAAAATATGTGTTCAGATTTGAATGCCAGATTAATGTGGAGGGAAAACTATGAAGAAAAAGCTAAACCTCGTGAGAATCGGATGAGATTTGACCAAGTAATGGGGTTGGGAAATTTTGACCCATGTCTATATAGGAATCTTGGGGTAAGATTTTGGCATGAAATTCGACTAAAAAATATGTGTTCAGATTTGAATGCCAGATTAATCTAGAGGGAAAACTATGAAGAAAAAGCCAAACTTCGTGAGAATCGGATGAGATTTGACCAAGTTATGGGGTTGGGAAATTTTGACCCATGTCTATATAGGAATCGTAGGGTAAGATTTTGGCATGAAATTCGACTAAAAAATATGTGTTCAGATTTGAATGCCAGATTTATCTAGAGGGAAAACTATGAAGAAAAAGCCAAACCTCGTGAGAATCGGATGAGATTTGACCAAGTAATGGGGTTGGGAAATTTTTACCCATGTCTATATAGGAATCTTGGGGTAAGATTTTGGCATGAAACTCGACTAAAAAATATGTGTTCAGATTTGAATGCCAGATTTATCTGGAGGGAAAACTATGAAGAAAAAGCCAAACCTCGTGAGAATCGGATGAGATTTGACCAATTTGTGGGGGTGGGAAAATTCGACCTATGTCTATATAGGAATCTTGGGGTAAGATTTTGGCATGAAATTCGACTGAAAAATATGTGTTCAGATTTGAATGCCAGATTAATCTAGAGGGAAAACTATGAAGAAAAAGCCAAACCTCGTGAGAATCGGAT